TGAAATTAGTTTTGGGAAAACTGTGAGGCCCTGTGTCAACTACATTTCATAAAATAAGCTCTGGGGTCACAATGATTCTAACATTATTTACATAAGATAAAAAAATCTATATACACACTCAAATCAAGTCTTTTCATTGCTGCTTCCTCTTTAGTTCTAAGAAATTCACCCTTTTTCTGAAAGTGCACTACCTAAGCAACAGAGAAATATTGTTTATATTAAATTTTGGTTATAGTTTATTGTCAACCTGTTTTTTCTTTTATTTCCCATTGGGAAAATACCATAAATTAGTATTTTTCTAAATTTCAGGGAGAAATCAATGTGTGACTGCAAATACTGTTCTTAATTGACCAAAATTTGTAGATTTGTGTTCAAATTTATGTTTGTATCTATATTCCCAGACACTTGTGGAATACTTTTATTTCTGAAACAAAAATAAGATCTCATCCTGAACTATATTATGTTCCCCATCAGTCTTTTAAAGGCAACATCATTCAATTTAATAGCAACCAGAAAATAATAATGGGTTTACACTATACCTTTTAAAAAGGGACTATACAATTTTTTTTCTACTCTCTTTTATATCATTAACATCTGATATCGTAATTTGCCCTAATTCTCAATGCTGTCTTTCCCGCATGGTCCCCTGATTGTCATGAGGCCAGATATAAGTATCCATATAACTGTACAACCATCAAGGTCCCTATAGATCTGAAAGTATACATTAATACAGATCCAACTGCTTCTATTTGCTCTTAATTTTTGTGTCTTTGTTTGTTGGTCATTTGACAGTGGAACTGCTTGCACCTAGACAGTTTGTTATCTTAGAACGAAAAGATTCACCTCATTTTATGTGAAACTCAGCTTTCAATTTTTGAAATGAATAGCATATTATACTTAGAAAGAAGCAGAAAAATCTACAGAAAAATATAATTCTGATTTCCGTTTCCTTAATATCATGTACATTTATAATGGTACAAACCCATCTGTTTAATCATAACCCAAGAGCCTGGCACATACCTGTAATCCAAGCCTCAGAAAGCTGAGCATAAAGAGTGGGAGTTCGAGGCAAGCCTGGGCTGCATTGTGAGCCAAGAACAATAAAAATCAACACTATGGAAGCATCTTTATGACATAAAGGTGACTGCAACCTGTATCTCTTGAGCATTTTAACATGGCAGTGGCCATTATTTTCTTTTCACAACAGGACAGGATCAAGTTACTTGTCTAACATGCACTGTGAGTCATTCTCTGCATTTCCTGAATCCCTGTTTGTAATCCTAGCAGGCAGAATTTTATTTCAAAAGAAGAATTCTACCACTTTCTTGACTATTTCACTAGAAGCAGGTTACATGTAAAATTTTATGAATGAATATCTTCATCACTTTAAAGCCTTAAAGGGCTTTTCACTCCCTTTCTTCCCTCCCCTTTCCTAGATGCAAAGACAGCTGAATGAAGAACAGAATTGTACTTCAAGCTATATTGTCAACATCTGCACAACAGCCAAGAGCTTGTCACCGTTCCAGCAATGTGTAGTACTGTGCAGCCACTCAAAAGACAAAACCTTTTTTATTTCCAAGCTGCTTTTCACTTCTTCATTGTGTGAAGTTGGAAAGATAATAATACACCTACTGGCTAAAAGGATAACTTTCACAAGTTCCTGGAAGCACAATGAGAGGCAAAAGAACCCATTTGAGGCAAGAAGAATGCAATTAGGAGAATGTACATTGTAATCCACTTTACATTTTAGGTTCTTGCAAGTGTACAAAAAGGCTTTCTGTTTAAATTAAAAAGCAGTGTACAAAATCTGTTCTTTTGTGAATTCATAGCCTGCCGTTTTCTATATAGATGAACATTTATTAAACGGCTATGTGTGCAAGGCATCATTTAGCTATAAGATGGGTATGAATAAATCACAAGGCTGCTTTGGCTACCAGCTCATAGTCATAGGTTTTATCCTCCTTAAAAAGCAGCTGTTACGAAAGGCCTGAAGAAAACAGTTGAGGAAAAGCTATTTTATAACAGTCTTGGGACTCATTAGGCATTCTTCCGGCAGCAAGGGAAATCAGAGAAATGAAGTGCCTCTTCCAAACAGAGCGGGCATGCAGTTGCCACCTCTATGCCAGCTCTGGGCCCATTCTCTCACCATCAGTTTCCAGCAGCCCTTTCCTTACAATTTTTCTAGGCTCTCCAGGTTCATCCCTATACATGGGAGCAGAAAAGGAACTGGGAAACACTCACACCTCTACTGCTCTGGCCCCACAGTTTAATGTTTTCACTTTTTCACATGATGTCTTTGGGCCAGAGTAACTCCTTCCTGCAGCAGCACCCACAGAGGGGACACTTATAGGAGTGAGGACTAAGTTTGAAATCATTAAAAATGAGGGAAGTTGATTTTTGCCATCCTTCCATTGCAAAAACAAACGAACAAACAAAACCAAACAAACTGCAAGTATCTGTTGCTCTACCTGTAGCACTTCCTTTTTCAACTGTGAAGCAATTGCTTCCCATGGCTCTCTGAACAATAACCTGAAAGCAGTGTGGAATTATTATACAGTACATTGCACTGGAAGCAGCGTGGGGCTTTGTTTCTAGGTAGACTGACTGCAGCACCTGGACAGAAAAACTGCACCAGGCTTTACCAGGAGCAAAGCAATACTTTCCTTTCTTTCCAGTTTCTACTGTGTAGGAGAAGTAAGACGCACAGGGGAGTAGAATATTTACCAGATGAATTCGAGACAAAAGTCTATTTAGGCTATGGTTCGAGAAGTTTTTGTAGATATGAAAAGTATTTCCCCCAAAGCATTAGGAACTAGAAAACTTCAGTTGATTTAGTGTTCAATGCTTATGAGGGACTAAATTTGCATAGGCAAGAGAGAACAGGCGACTGTGATCAGGAAAAAGGCAAGCTCATCGCTCAACACGCCTTTCGTGGAAGGAGGGATTATCTGGCTGAACCCTGGCAAGCCTTGGTGTCCAGTCCTTCGTTCAGGTATCTCATCAGTCTGCTTGCCGACCGCCCAGGGAATCACCCAGGGAATCACTAATGAAAGCAAGACGCCAGCACTGTGATAAATCACCAACTCTTTCAAAAGGAAATCTTGCAGCAGTTTTATTCTAATTGATGCTTTCTCATGAGGTTACGTACACATATGGAGAAGCTGCGGGATCAGAGGCCAGTTTATAAGGAGCAATTAAGGACATCTAAGAAGAGAATTCCTTAAAAACACATTAGAACAAACAATTCTTCAGGTTTACATGTGTGTCTGTGTGCGTGCCTGTGTGCATACTTATCAATAAAGAGTGATCTGAAAAACACAAAGTAGGTGTACCATAACCATCAGCAAACAGCACCACAGCCTGTTAAAGTTCAAAAGTTCCCTTGCTTCAATTTTATTTTCTTATCATAGCAGCAGACTGAGTGCTAAAAACTACAGCTACCCTTTATAATGCTTCCCTACAACGTACTACCCGCATGTCCTTCGGCCCCAGGTGAGAAAAGCAAGCTGCCCAAATTTATTGACCCAGAGATGCGCTTCTGCTGCAGCATCCCACGGAAATGGGAATGTTAGTAGTTATCGGAAAGCCTTTGGTAATGCCATGCCATGCAAGAAGTTCCTTTCAATTAAAAAAGAAAGAGCAGAAGGAAGAAGAAAGGAAAGAGACGGAAAAGAGGAAAAGCAAAACTTAAAAAAAAAAATAACGCAACAAGTTGCAGTGTTAATTTCCCTTCTACTTGCCATTTCGCCGGGGTGGAAAAAGTTTAAAAAGCAGCGTATTTCTCTGGCGTCTTAGCCAGGCAGCCAGTGTCGCGAACCCCAAGTCCTGTCCAGCCTTACCTTCTGTCGCTAGCACAAACCCAGAGGCTAAGGGGCCCTGCTCTCAGTGGCAGCGGTAGGGGCAGAGGCAGCAAACAGCGGCACATGCCATCTGTTAGAGGGAGAAGCAAGAGAAAAAAAAAAAGCAGCCCTGCGTGAGGTGGCCCCGGGGCCGGGAGAGCCTTTAGCAGGGGTGTCTAGTGGATGCCGCCATTTTAAAGCGAGGTTCCTGAAATCATTAGATATAAGCAAATTAAAACCCGCCCCACCTCCAGAACTTCGGGCCGGGACGTGCCACCGGCTTCCGAGTCCAGCGGCGGCAGCGGGGTGTCCAATGTCAAGTCCAGCAACAGGCACTGGGGACTCCGAGGAGCCTGGCCACAACCCCCGGAGGTGCCATCTCCTCCCCCCCCGTCCCCGCCCCCGCGCCCACGCTTTGGCCTCCAGCGGAAAAACAAGGCTAGTCCGTGGCGTGCCCTCTGTGTCCCCCCCCACCCCCGCACCCGCCGGTGGCCCGCTGGCTGGAGGAGGGGACCGGGAGCCCGGCCTCACCCCCCCGTGCCCCCCCCGCCGCCTCCGCTTGGTTCCGTCCGCGCCCAGCACACCTCTGAGCGCTCAGTTCCCCCGCTGGCGGCGGGGCGCCGAGCGAACCTCCCTCCCTCCCGGGCCACCGGGCCAGCGGCGGGGGAGGGGGGGCTCCCGCCGAGGTTCGCGTTTGCCCTGGCAACCGGCCCCCCTTCTCACCCCCACCCCGCAACCCCAAGCAGGCCCCCAGGCAAAGACGTGTCCTGGCTCCCCACCCCCCCTGCCGCCGCCCCGGCACCGTACCCCTTCACCGTGCATCCCCCCAAAAGTCCACCCTACCGGGGTGACCCGACAACTCGGGGCTTCCGCAGTGCCAGCCGCGCCGGGGCCTCGCGGAGAAAACTCGGCTGCTGCTCCTGACGGCGGCGAATTTCTTCTTTAGGCGCCAAAAAGGCAACTCGCGCCCAACTCCGTGAGCAGGCAGCGAGTGGTGCGCCGCCGGCGGAGCGAGCGTGCGAGCGAGCGAGCGAGCGGCCGTCCTCACCCGCCCTCCTCGGGCCGGCCCCGCCCCGCCCGGCCAGGTAGTGCCACTCAGCCCAGCCGGTCGCCTTGTCGCCTTGGCCTCGGCCGCCCGCCACCGCCACCCTCCCACCTTACCTGGACGAGGGAGCGACCGCAGTGGCGGCTCGCCGGCAGGGCGACACGCGCAGCAACTCAGGCGCCTGCTGGCCCCGATTCCCGCGCCGGCCCGGGACTGTCTTCCGCCTCCTCGCGGCTCGCTCGCCGAGAGCGCCAAAAAAATAAAAAGTGGCGCTCGGAGCGGGGGCACCTTCTTCCTGGAGGGGCGCACTTTCGCGCTCCCGACCGCGCACCGACTGGGGGCACCCTCTTCCTGGAGGACGCACTTGCGTCGTGAACTCGAGTCTTTGTGTGACTCGGCCAGTCGCGCCGGCTCCCCCCGCCCAGCACCCCCCAGCGGGCCGGCACGGGCTTTCCTCCCGAGGGGGTGTGGCGCCTCGCCCCTCCAGGACGCCAGCCTGCCCCAGCCCGCCTCGCCCACGGGGCCTTTTGTCGCGTCATTGGGACCTGTGCCTGGGGGGGGGGTTGGGGGGACCCACAGCAAATCATACCGCTCGGGATGCACAAAAGCAAAGCTGGAGGGAAGCGTGTTGTACTTACCCTGGTGGCGAGAGCCGGGCCGCTCCAAAGTTTCTGGAGCTTCTGCAGCGGCGGCCAAGTGCCAAGGAAAAAGGCGACACAGTGCGCTGTGTAGCGCGAAGTTCTAGGTTCTAGAACTTCCGAGACAGGTGAGGGAAAGTAGGGACTTCCAACATGACCTCTATCGATAGGGATATCAACTCCCGAAGGGTTAAACACTCACCTGTGCCTTCCTGGGTCTCCTCCCTTCGGTAAAAGCCCAGATCTTCTATTTCCCTCTAAAAACTCGAGAGAGGAAAAATGTTAATCAGAGGAAATGCTTCCCCTACTTCAAGGGAGTTTTACAGGGTAGGAGGAGCCCTGAGGTAAGATGCCAGATACTTCTGAACGGAAAATGGACAAAGCGAATGCGATTTTATACTTTGATTTAAAAATGTGCATCTGGGCATCTAAATTACAAGTTTCAATTTAATACAAGCGTAATAAGAGCACCAGCTGTCTCTTAATTGGAGCCCCACAATAATAAACGCGTGCTTTTTTTTTAATTTTATGAGGACAATTGTAGATGATAACACACACATATGCAGGATCGTCCACGAGGAACTCATAGCAATTCATGGCTGCTTTCCTGCATGCAATCAACTGCTTCAGCCTAGAGCTCAGCTCTGTAAGCTCTACAGAAAGTGCACAAGCATTGCGGGACATATTTAAGTGGCCGTTAGGTTGAGGAGTGGAGTGAATTCTCAGGCTAATTATACTTTTTAATACTGCTGAACTGATCCAAATAGAATTCAACTAATTTTAGGCAAGAAATCAATCTCTGCGTGTTAAATGCAAAATAATAAGAGCAGGCCAGCAATGGTTAGGAAAAGACTGGGCACAGACTACCATTCACATAATTGAAAAAACTCCACAATGGCATTTGGCGAGAATTGTGAAAGTCACCAGGACAATGTGTAGGGACGCTGTCTGACATTTCAGAGTTATGACTAGGATCCTAGCGTAAGTCAAAATAAGAAGGACTTCCTAGTTACCTCATGAATTCCTAACCACTTCTCCCACGCCTTCTTTCATAGTTGCCAAATTCCCTGAACTACTGTAAAAAGTCAGACTTGTCTGGCATCTGGGAAGTGGCTTTGCCAGTGCAGGAACCACCACAGAGCACTAAAGAGGTGTTGCCTACCATGGGAGACTAGAAGGGCAAGGCTGAATTATATAACTTTATGCCCAGTGACCCAACAAATGAAGAACTGATGTCAGTGACTCAACAAAGGAGTCTTTATACTAAACTTGGGCAACACCAGATCTCTCACCTCTGTCCACCATTGCGATCCACCTGTCCTGTGGGACATCCAGGCTTTCCTGGCCCTGCTTTATTGCTCTAGAGTCGCTAGAATAACTGTTTGATCAAGAATGTATGGGGCACCGTAAGGAATGTAAGCATTTGGTGAACAGGATACTTTCAACATTATCTCTTGCTTGAAAATGCTAGCCAGTGGAAAGAGCAAATCAGACTAGTATTCTCTTCCCCACACTGGAAGGAGGAATAGTCTTGCAAATAGATTTTAACCAATAAGCAGTCTTCCATTTTTTCCAAGTAGCATGACCTCCCCAAATAAAATGAGGCAAATTTCCATGCCACTGAATCCACTGGGGAGTATTTTTACTTTTTATTATTTATGTATTTATTTTTATTTTTTAAAAAGAAAACGAACTCTTTCATTATACATACCCAATCCAAGTTTCCACTCCCTGCCCTCCTCCCATTTCTTCCACCTACCCCTCCAACCCAGCCCTCTCTAATCCTAAGAGAGGGCAAGGTACTTTGCTTTGGGGAAAGTCCAAGGCCCTCCCTACTATACCTAGGCTGAGCAAGGAATACATCCAAATAGGATCCCCAAAACCTAGTCCAAGCAGTAGGGATGAATCCTGGTGCCACTGTCAGTGGCCACTCAGTCTGCCCCAGCCATACAACTGTCACCCACATTCAGAGGGTCTAGTTTGATCCTATCCTTGTTCCTTCCCAGTCCACCTGGAGTTGGTGATTTCCCATTGGCTCAGGTAAACTGTTTCAGTGGGTGTCCCCATCATGGTCTTGACCTCGTTGCTCATTTTCTCACTCCTCCCATTCTTCAACTGGACTTTGGGAGCTCAGTCCAGTGCTCCAATGCAGGTCTCTGCCTCTGTTTCCATCAGTTGCTGGATGAAGGGGTTTTTTATTTATTTTTTATTGACAATTTCCACCTACTCCCCTCATCCCACTTCCCTCCCCTCACTCCCCCTCCTCTTCCCTCTCCAGTCCAAGGAGCAGTCAGGGTTCCCTACCCTATGGGAAGTCCAAGGTCCTCCCTGCTACCCCCAGGTACAGGAAGGTGAGCATCCAAACAGACTAGGCTCCCACAAAGCCTGTCCATGCAGTGGAATCAAAACCCAGTGCCATTGTCCTTGACTTCTCCATCAGCCTCCACCATCAGCCACATTCAGAGAGTCCAGTTTGATCACATGCTCCATCAGTTCCAGTCCAGCTGGCCTTGGTGATCTCCGTCTCAGTGGGTGGACGCACCCATCGCGGTCCTGACTTCCTTGCTCATGTTCTCCCTCCTTCTGCTCTTCATATGGACCTTGGGAGCTCAGTCCAGTGCTCCAGTGTGGGTCTCTGTCTCTATCTCCATCCATCGCCAGATGAAGGTTCTATGGTGATATGCAAGATATTCATCAGTGTGGTTATAGGATAAGGCCAGTTCAGGCACCTTCTCCTCTGCTGCCCAAGGAACAAGCTGGGGACATCTCCCTGGACACCTGGGAACCCCTCCAGAGTCAAGTCTCTTGCCAACCCTAAAATGGCTCCCTTAATTAAGATATCTACTTCCCTGCTCCCATATCCCCTTCCTCCATCTCAACCATCCCATTCCCCCAAGCTCTCCCCATCCTCCCCTTCTCTCTTCTCTCTCCCCATCTCCCCTTATCCCCACCCCCACCCCTGTGCTCCCAACCCCTGTTCGGCAATCTTGTCTACTTCGTGGTAATATTTAAGATATTCATCAATCTGACTACAGGGCAAGGCCAGTTCTGGCACCCTCTACTCTATTGTTTAGGGTCTTAGCTGGGGGTCATCTTTGTGGATTCCTGGGGATTTCTCTAGAGCCAGGTTTCTTGCTAACTCCATAATGGCTTCCTTGATCAAGATATCTCTTTCCTTGCTCTCATCTTTGTCTGTTCTCCATCTCCACTATCCCATTCTCTCAAGTTGTCCTTGCCCCACCCCTTCTCCCTTCCTCTTTCCTTCTACCTCCCTTCTGCAGCCAGACTACCTTGTCTGTTTCGCCTTTCCAGGTGGATACATATGTGTTTTTTCTTGGGGTTCACCTTGTTACTTAGCTTCTCTAGGATCATGAACGATAGGCTCAATATCATTTTTTTTTTATCGCCAGTATCCACGTATGAGTGAGTACATACCATATTCATCTTTTTGGGTCTGGGTTATCTCACTCAGGATATTTTTTTTCTAGTTCCATCTATTTTCATGTAAAATTCAAAATGTTATTGTTTTTTTACTGCTGAGTAATACTCTAAAGTGTAAATGTGCCACAGTTCCTTTATCCATTCTTTGGTTGAGGAGCACCTAGGTTGTTTACACTTTCTGGTGAATAATGCTGCTATGAACATAGTAAAACAAATGTCCTTGTAGTATGATTGAGCATCTTTTGGGATTATGCCCAAGAGTGGTATTGCTGGGTCCTGAGGTAGGTTGATTACTAATTTTCTGAGAAACCGCCATACTGATGTCCAGAGTAGTTATACAAGTTTTCATTCCCATCAGCAATGGAGGGAGTATTTTCAAAGGCCACAAGAAATTACTGCACACTCTCCTCGGTATTTTAGAAAGGCCCATTTGCAAGTGTAGATAGACCATGGAATTATTTTCTGCTTTAGTAGAGTGGTCAGAAGTATCCACCATTTTCTCTTCTGTACTTCTCCCTCTAGACACGAGGAGAGGGACATAAGCAAAGGAATAGAAGGTTGGGTCTACACTGATACTGCAGATGAGTTCTTGCTCTGCGTGTTTGTTCATCAAGTCTCATAATACTTCCACTAGCTCCTCAGCTACATTTGGTGGAAATCTTCTCAGGATCATTACCCTGACAGATCTTAAAAGGCTAGTGCGTGAATCTAAATTTTCATTCCAGGCCCTTTGCCCTACCAGCCTAGTGCAATGGAGGCACGGGAGTAAGCACCGAAACGTTCCTTGCGAGCATTTTTCTAAGCTCTTGCTGCAATTTAACACTTGAAATGGACACTTACACGTAAAATGTAAGGTGAAAAATGCAACAGCCTCAAGTGCCATTTTCTTCCAATAAAATATAGTTAACTTTGATTGGTGTAATAGGAAATATTCTAAAACTTGCATATAATTTAGAAACAGAAGGATTGCTATAATCCATAAACAAATATGTATGCATTTTTAAATGCGGAATAGGCCAACAGGCAAAAAAATCTCTAATGTGTTAGTGTATCATGGTTTTAGGATTTTTTTTAAAGTTCTTATTATATAGTATTGGATTTTCTATTTTTTCCTCTCCTAAGCATTATAATTCATTCATTATTCTCTTTAAAAAGACAATTAACCTGCGCGATTAGACATAGAAGCAAAGCCGTGCTCTGAAGAGAAAAACAGCATCTCCCTCCTGATTTGAATCTGTGCACTCTTCTCACCAGCCTTGACTTATCAGCAGCAGCCCTATTCGCTAATTATTTCTGTGCTCTAGAAATTTGCTACAGGCTGCAGTTACACAGCAACACT